AAGCACGGACTGCTCATTCTCAGAAATTAACAATAAGATGGAAATAATTGAGCAAGAGCAGCAAAAAGCACAAGCCTTGTCCCTAGGACTCCAAGAAAAGGAGGTTCAGATTCCTGAGTTATCTCAGGTATTTGTTGAGGATGTAAAGGGTATCTTAAAGAGTAGATTGGAAGAAGGTCCTATGAATCCTCAAGAGGTTGGAGAATCTTCAGTCTGTGCAGACACCAAAATTTTAATTCAAAACTTAATTAAAAGAGTTAGCACATCACAGTTGGCAAATGAAGCATCTGGTGTCCCCAGTGACTTCAAAGTTGGTGACTGTTCTGGAGTTTCCCCCATGAATAACCCACCAGAATTGAGAGCAGAGAGTAGAGATGATCCATTCTGTATTGCAAATCTTAAGTCTGAGCTTCTCCTTGATATACTTAAGCAAAATCAGTATAGCCAGAAAATTACTGGGGCGTTTGAATTGATAAAAGAATTAACCCAGATGGAGTATGAGCTAGAGAAAAGAGGAATTACATCTAAAGTACCTCCATTGCAACTTGAAAATATTTTCTACAAGCTGCTGGCTGACATATACTCAGAGAAAGTAGAACAGGTCAGAGACTTGAATCAGAAATCATCCACTACCTCTGAGACGGCGGATGAAAAGTCACACATTCTTAATGATCTTAAAAGCAAAGAAGGAAACCACTGTTCCCTTAATTTACAAAATATAAAAGATATTGGACTAGAAAGCTCGACTATGTGTGCATCCCCATTGCCAAGCGATGAGAAGCTGGGGGAGCAATGCAGTGATATCCCAGACCATTTGGAAAGTATTTCAGGGTCAAAAGGAATGACTTCTGGAGATGGCTCAATGGAACAAGTAAGTTGATTTTATATTTTATGTGGCTGTAGCTGCATGAAACATTTGGGAATAACCCCATACATTTTATTTGCTTTAAAAAACTGTGTAAAGGCTATTGAATTAAAATGTCCAAATTTGTGTTTAGTTTTCCACTGAGTTACAGCAGTGTTTACAGCACACATCAAAAATGCATGAGTATTTGGCTTTACTTCAAGATATGAAGCCCCCTTTAGACAACCAGGAGTCTCTGGATAATAATCTGGAAACTTTGAGGAACCGACTTAAACAGTTAGAGGTAAGAACTGTCTGCTGCCTATTATGGATGGTTGTCAGCTGGTGTTAATTTGGAAAGATGAGCCATTGTGCTTTACTATTACATTTAAAATGGATTGTGATTGATGTTTTCATTGAATAGTTCTGGGATATGTATTTTTTGCAGACATTTGAATTGGGATTGGCTCCAATTGCTGTTCTCTTAAGAAAGGACATGAAGTTGGCAGAAGAATTTTTAAAGTCTCTTCCCAGTGACTTCCCCAGAGGACAGCTTGAGGAATTGAGGACAAGCCACCAAAATTTGCAGACTGCTTTCTCTTCCTTCAGCAGTGTGTCTTCAGAAAGAATGAAACACGTCATGCTCGCAATTGACTCTGAAATGGTAGGCATCGAAACATTTCATGCCAAGTCAGCATTTGAATTTTGAAGAAAATCTGATTATTTGAAAATTTAGTCATGAGATGAGATGAAGTCTTTTATTTTCAGACTGTTAGGGCCTTGAAACAGAACCATTTTTTGTAGGAATTTGAAATTTGGGGATTGACAGAAATGAAAACATGATTTTATTTTCTAGTCTAAACTAGCAGTTTCCCATGAAGAATTTCTGCAGAAACTCGAGTCATTCTCACATTGGATATCAGAGAAGAGCAAGTCTGTGAAGGATATTGAAATTGTGAATGTACAAGATACTGAACATGTGAAGAGAAGTTTGGAGTTTCTCAAGGCAAGTTTCAAGATAAATGAGATAAATTTATGTACATTTAAAAACTTCCAGATTTAATATAACAAATGTTTACAAAAAAATGACTTCTAAATCTAAACGGATTATTTCCTTTGTCTCTAAGAGATGTTTGTTCGTAGTTGACAGAACCATAAAATAATCCCAACTCTATGGGCGTCATTCCAATGCTTTCCCAGCTGCCTTATCAATCTCTTACCGCCACTGACATCTTAAGATTTGTATTTGTTTATGTATTAGTCACATTAATAACTATTAGAATAATAGTTAAATTATTCTTATAAATACAACATAGTTTTTAACATGAATAGCATGCCTCATGAATGATGTTTAGGCTCCTGGCTTGTGAGTCAGAAAGCTGAAATTCTAGCTCATTGAATTTATGTTTCAGATTCCCCACTGGCTCGTTTATGTGCAACCACAATTACATGGATATTGTAAATATTAGCAAGTAATATTTTAACGTTGATTTTCCCCTTTAACATGCCAAATGTATGTAAGTTGGGTTTTTATCTTTTGCTGGAGTTACATTTTAAATGTGATATGGCAGGCAAGATTAAAATATTCTTAGAGGAGGGGTGCCTCGGTGGCTCAGTCGGTTAAGCCTCAGGCTCTTGATTTCGGCTCAGGTCGTGATCTCAGGGTTGTGAGATCGAGCCCTGCTTTGGGCTCTGCAGTCAGCGGGGAGTCTGCTTGAGATTCTTTCCTTCTCCCTCTGTCCCTCCTCCTGCACTCTCTCTCTAAAAAATAAATAAATTAAAAAAATAGAAGAATTGTCTTTCCATATAATATTAATTACCATAGTATTTAAATAATTTCATCATTACCATCTGCTAGTAGGTGGTGAATAGATTTTTGACTAAACGGATCATGAAAAAAATAATAAAACCTTGAGTCCCTTATATAAGAATTATATTTTTAAAATATTGTTAATACTTGACCTACTTCACTTAGCATAATCCCCTCCGGTTCCACCCATGTCTTTGCAAATGGTGGGTATTCATCCTTTCTGATGTCTGAGTAATATTCCATTGTATATGCGTACCACATCTTCTCTATGCATTCATCTGTTGAAGGGCATCTCGGCTCCTTCCACAGTTTGGCTATTGCGGACATTGCTGCTATGAACACTGGGGTGCATGTGTCCCTTCTTTTCACTACATCTGTATCTTCGGGGTAAATACCTAGTAGTGCAATTGCTGGGTCATAGGATAGCTCTATTTTATAACATCTTGAGGAATCTCCATACTGTTTTCCAGAGTGGCTGTACCAACTTGTAAGTCAAGCAGAGAAAGACGATTATCATATGGTTTCACCCATATGTGGAACATAAGCAATAGCACGGAGGACCATAGGGAAAGGGAGGGAAATCTGAAGGGGGAGAAATCAGAGAGGGAGACGAACCATGAGAGACTGTGGATGCCCAGAAACAAACAGGGTTTCAGAGGGAAGGGGTGTGGGGGGATGGGTTAGCCTGGTGATGGGTATTAAGGAGGGCATGTATTGTGATGAGTACTGGGTGTTATACATAACTAATGAATCATTGACCACTACATCAAAAACTAATGATGTGCTATACAGTTGCTAACTGAACATAATAAAAATAAAAAATATATTGTTAATATAAACTTTATATTATGGCTTACCTCTCATTTTATAACTTGTACTGTTTCGTTCACAGAATGTGTTAAAAGACCTTGGACACACCAAAGTGCAGCTGGAGGCCACTGCCCTTGATGTGCAGTTCTTCATTTCTGAATGTGCACAAGACCTGTCTCCCAACCAAAGCAAACAACTACTGAGGCTCCTAAATACCACTCAGAAATGTTTTCTTGATGTGCAGGAATCAGTAACTGCCCGGGTGGAACACTTAGAGACTCAGTTACAGCTAGAACAAGATCTTGATGATCAGAAGGTTTGCCTTTCTTTGTGGAGTTGGTATTCTTTGTTTTTAGTTCTTCCATGTGAAACCTGTAATGTGGATACCCAGGGATCTGGAAGGGCAGTAAGTGGACAGGGTATAACGTAGAGATGCTGGAATATATAACAATATTGTTTTCCATAAGAATGCTACAGTTTATTTTAATTTTTATGACTCCCTGAAACCACTGTTTTCAAGTGGGAGTCTTGATTTTTTTCCTGGGAGTAGGACAGATGGATGCACTCAGAAATTTCGATACGTTGGTGACTATGGATAAAGAAGGTTAAGTATCTTTTTCCTCTGGGAGGTAGTAGAGCACAGCAGCACAGGGCATGGGCTGTGGAGCCAGACTGGCTGAGTTTACATCCCAGCTACACTCGGTCATGGGTGACTTAGGGCACGTCACTCAGCCACGGTTTTCTCAGTGGCAAATTGGAAATAATAACTGTGCTTACCTGGTAGTATTGTGAGCATTGATAAAAGAATGAATATAAAACACTTAGTACTTTACTTGCCTGGCATGTGTTAGGCTCCTAGGAAACATGATCAATGGCTATAAGATGCATAACTAGTGTATCAATAATAGGAAAGTGAAAGATGCAAGTATTAGTATTGATTTTCTAATCTCGTAATTTAGTGAATTATATTAGAGCGCTACATCTAATAATAATGAGCAAAGGGATGGCAATGGAATTAGGCATAGTGATTAAGTAAAAACATTGCATGCAGTGCTCCTTTTATTATATCTTGAAGCACCTAGGCATTGTCTCTAGCATGATAACCTATATACACATATCAAATATGTTAACAGACAAACCACAACTAACTTCTGTTTTGATATCCTTTTGCAGAATTAATTGTGTGTGTTGCAGGTTTCGAGAGCTTAAGAACATGGAATGTTTCTTCCTGTCGGTCAGAAGTTCCATCTCTTACACATATGCATGGCCAGTATTCTACTGAGCAGTTTCATCCAAACATGATCTCCTTCTTTGTATATGGGACATGCTCTTACTTTCTGTGTCACCTTGCTCAATATGTACCCCACTGCTATCATGTTTACAGCATACTCAGAAAAGCTTGCAAGATATGTTCTAATTTTGCAGTTAGAACTTGTAAAATGTGCAGAACTTGCAAAATGTGTTCTAGTAAGGAGTAATCACAATAGTGAGTTTATGACCACACATTTAAGATGCTTTGATTTTGCCCCGCTTTAGATTGTGGCAGAGCGTCAACAGGAGTACAAAGAGAAACTCCAAGGAATATGCGACCTCCTCACCCAAACTGAAAACCGCCTCATTGGCCACCAAGAAGCCTTTGTGATTGGAGATGGCACAGTTGAGTTGAAGAAGTATCAGTCCAAGCAGGAGGTAAAATTTGGTTTTGCATCAGCAGGTCTATGTTGATACTAAGTTTAATTACTATTATTAGCAAATCATTTTAGCTTTTCTGAGCCAAGGTGAGCTTTAAACTTGATACTAAGAGTTACATTTCCAACTTTAAGAAAGCCAGTAATTTTCTTGACTGTGTTGGTGAGATATTGAGGGAAGGCGATATAAAGTAAGTTGCTAATGGAAATACCTTGTGTAGGGAGTTAAAACTTGCATCCGCTTAAGGCCAGCTCACTCACTTGTACAACAGGTGAAATAGGCATTCGTTTGGGTTCTTTCTCTTTCTTCACTGCCTATTCCTTTCCTCTTTCTCTACAATTTGTCCCTCTTTATCAAACGAACAAACAATAAAGATGGGTAAAGATAGCTTTCTTTTGGTGTCAGGAGAAAGAACATTCTCATTGTAACTAGATAGCTCTTGGTTCAAGTCCCAGACACTCCACATTGTTAGCTTTCTAAAGAATCTCTTCAGGCCTCAGTTTCTTCATCGGTCATACTTCGCTGATTATAGGGGTTAAGGAAGTGATATGTGTTAAGTAAGTGACTATAGCGCAGTTCATGTCGCATCGTAGTGGCTCAGGAAGTAGTATCTCTTCCCATTCAAATACTTCGAATAATTTGATAAGGCTTAAATTAAAAATATGGGAAAATAATGTGAAAGTTCAAACACAGTATAATTTGGAGAATAAAAACACAAAGTAAAGGAGGAAGAGAAGAGGAAAAATTCCATAGAGAGATCTAGACAAAGGAAAGCTATAACTGCTGAGGAGAGATCTTAATCTTGAGCTTCCTAGCAGCTGGGGCAAAGAAGCAAACATTGCATATTGGAGAGCCTTGGGGTTTAGAAGAAGTTATCTTAGTTCACTGGGAGAATTACTTTGTTTTTTATCTTGAATAATAGATATATGTTAAAAAAATAAATGTTTAGAAACTGAATAAATAATATTATCGTGTCTTTAAAAGCTCTTATAAGTGTGCTCACATAATGTGATAATATCTGGTGTGTGCAAATTTGTATAGATTATGTTATTAAATTCATTATTTTCTTATTTTAAAAGATTTATTTATTTTAGAGAATGAGAGAGATAGCAGGAGGAGGGGCAGAGGGAGAGAAATCCTCAAGCAGGTTCCCTGCTGAGTGTGGAGCCCGATATGGGGCTCGATCCCAGGACCCTGAGATGGTGATCTGAGCTGAAACCAAGAGTCAGCTGCTTAATCAATTGGGCCACTTGCACGCTCCTTAAATTCATTATTTTCAGTGTTTTACAAACCATATCCCTTTGTGAAACATGAAAATCTCACACCTTTTTTTAATGCTGTTTGAGATTTCACATTAAATTAAATATTGTGATTTAAGTAAACCAACTCAAATTGACTATGCTTTTTCAACCTATAAATAAATGCTTAACTCTCCTCTGCTCACTCCCTCTTTTAGAATTACAACTCTGGAAGAATTAAATAGGTAATAATTTAATAAGAGTTTTTTTCCTTTTGTGTTATAAGGAATTACAGAAAGATATGCAAGGAAGTGCACAGGCTTTGGCAGAAATAGTGAAAAATACAGAGAACTTCTTAAAAGAGAATGGCGAAAAGCTGTCACGAGAAGATAAAGCTTTGATTGAGCAAAAACTTAACGAAGCCAAGTTAAAGTGTGAACAGCTTAATCTAAAGGCAGAACAGTCCAAAAAGGAGCTGGATAAAGTTGTGACAACAGCAATCAAAGAAGAAACTGAAAAGGTCCTTATTCAAATATGTGGTACACTATCGCTTTGTTGAAGATGATTCGGGTAACAGCTACTTGAATTTTTAAGTGGAATCAGGTGCCAGTAAGCAGTGCTTAGTACCAGAGACTAGAATTGTGGGTTTCCAGTTATACAATTGACCAAATATTACAGAAAGTTTGAAGAATTGGCTTTGTTCAGCTTTTTAAAAAAAATTTAAGTGGGATTGCATGAGGACTCCTCAGTTGTAGTTAAAATTTTGGAATGTGTTTTTAAGGACAGCGGAAACTTCTGAGTAACTGTCTCTGGCTCAAAGGTTTAATTTCACTGTGTTCAGTTTTCAGCGTGTGTCCGTTTTTAGTATCCCCACTCTAATTTTAAATGATCTTAAATATTTACTTTGGGAATGTCTTGAAACTAGTGCCTCAACCAGCATATAGAATACCTCCTCTGAACTTTCTCTCTCCAGGTTGCGGCTGCAAAGCAGCTGGAAGAGAGCAAAACCAAAATAGAAAACCTTTTGGACTGGCTGTCCAGTGTGGACGAAGACTCCGCCAGGGCAGGGGTAAAGCAGAGACAGGTAATCGAACAGAACGGGACCCATTTTCAAGAAGGCGATGGCACGTCAGTAATGGGAGCGGAGGATGAAGTTAATGGTAACCTGTTGGAAACTGATGTTGATGGACCAGTTGGAACCACTGAGGAGAATCTGAACCAGCAGTACCAGAAAGTTAAGGTTTGTTGTTCTAAACAGAGTGATATTGTTAAATTCTCTCTCAGGTCTGTGAAGATAGGGGCACCACCTGAGTTCGTTCTTGAAACCTTAATGACCACCGAGAGCTGAGTCCCATCTTCTAGGTGCATCATTGTGTCAGATATAAGTTACTGTGAGAACTCGAAGCAAGTCAGAAAGAATGAGAACGAAATCATTAGATGTGGCATTCTTCTAAGGGAAGCAGATTTGTGAGAAATTAATAGAAATAATGATAGCTGATATTAATTAATAGCAAATAGATAGCAGTTAAGATGGACCCTGCAGATGTGAATACACTGAGTCTCTGTCTCCCCCCTCCCAACCCCCACTCCCCGTGAGGCTGGAGGCTGGATTCACATTTCACGGGCGAGGACGCTGGAATGTACAGAAGTGAAGTAGCTTGCCTGGGTGTACACATCTAGTGCCTGAGCAGAGGCACCTTTTGGAAAAACCTTTTTCACAGTGTCACATAACTGATCATTTTATTTCTGCAAGTGGCCTTTGTCGTCACCTAACTGGACTTGAGGTGCCTTTGCAGTTTTGTGTGTTTTCCTCCATGTCTTTGTCTTTGGAGTCTTTGGAATAGAAGGTTTTTATATTATAGGAAGTACAAGTTAAACCAGAAGAAGAGTGGAAGTATTTATTGTATTTGTAGTTTCCAGGGGGTTATTCCAAACCTTATTTTCAGTGTTTTACAAACCATATCCCTTTGTGAAACATGAAAATCTCACATCTTTTTTTAATGCTGTTTGAGATTTCACATTAAATTAAATGTTGTGATTTAAGTAAACCAACTCTTAAAATGAAAAATTTAATGAATTCCTTTAGGAGTGTCTTATGAGTCAGTTACAAAGAAGTCAGGAAAGGTTAGTAAATTGACCCAAGGAGTGAAAATACCAGTGGGCGGATTCAAAGATAAAGAGGCCTCGCAGGAAAGCCCTTGTTTTTAGCCACTGCATGATGTTTGCCTTCTGATCTTTTTGCTTCTAAGAATATGGGTCTCTGAAAGTGTTTTAGAAATTCCTAATGTCCTGGCAGGGTGGTGGAGAGATAGCCCAAGGGCCTGGCCAGGGGTTCTGTTTCTAGCACTTTCTAGGGCCACATGTCCTAGGCCACGCGGTTTCTTCCTTTAGCCCAGATTTCCTCATTTATAAAAGGAAAGGGGTGGATCAGATAGTTTATAAGGTGTTACATATGTCTGTGTAAGCTACTGTGTGCAGAAGACCCACTGGAGAATAGTGTGTGATTATAGTTGAAATGTCTAAGACACAGTCTGTGGGAGAAAAGTTCTTTGGACAAAAATATTTATTGTGTGCCCATGATGGGGCAGGCATTTTTATAGACAGAATACAAATGTTAATGAGACTGTTCTCAGCTGACTAAGGGGGATCATACTTGTAAGTGAACAGTTTTCCTACAACAGTGCTTCTCAGTCCTGTTTATTTCATAGTATACTTATTCTTATTAGCCCTTGTTGCCAACACTGTTCCAGGCGTTTGGGATTCCCCAGTGAGCAAAATAAATTCCCTGCCGTGGTGCTTGCATGTGAGGATAGTGAGGATGAGAGGTCAGGATGATAGTTATTTATTAATGACTAAATTTTATGCACTATGGGATGTTAGAGAGGTAGTCCTCTTTTGCTGAAAGAAATGAGTTGGGTGGGTGAGCATGGGTCGGGAGCCACCTATCAGCATTAAATAGGATCATCTGAGTAGGCGTCCCTGACAGGATGAGATTGTGTGAAGCCTTAGAGGGGATGTGTGGGAGAGATACCTGAGGGAAGAGCTGTTGCCAGATGAGAACACCTAGGGGAAAAAGCCCCTTTTGTGCCTCATGAGGTGTGGGTGGTGATAGTGGTTTGAGAGACTGGGGTTCCTGGAGTAGGGTTGGGGGTGGAGCAAATAGTCAAAGAGCTCTGAGATAATATTATCAGGTCATTTGGCTCCCTGTAAACCATTATGAGAAGTGTGGAAAATTACCCAGAAGGATTCTTATCCTTTTTGCCATATTTGTATGGATATTGGGGTGGATGGGAGGAAGCTGCTGTGGCTGCAGAGAAAGGGACTCCAGCTACCTGAGGCCCACCCAGCTGCCCTGAAGGCTGAGGACACAGTGGCTCTGCACACCGGTCCTCTGCCTTCAGAGTGGATTTTAATTCCTGGCATGTGCCAGGCTTGCCAGGACGTAGTCTACACACGTGGTCTCATGTACTTCTTTCAGCAGACCCAGGATGTATAGGGATCATTGTCTCCTTTTTCCCCATGTAGGAAGCTGATGCCCAGTGAAGCCCAGTAGCTCCAGTATTCTCTTTGATTATATATGTTCCTCCAAACCTCTTTGGGCTTCTCTGGATGCATATTGTTCTTGCTTAATTATTGTCCTAGGGGTTTTATAGCCTTAAAATGAACAAATTCTCTTTTTCCTACTTAAATGTCTTCTCAGGATCATTTCTTAATAAAAAATATTGTATATCTTTGCTCAGTAATTAGCTAAAGACCTCAGCAGTCCCTTCAGGGTGGTTGTCAGACAGCAGTGACTAAAATGAGATCGTACTATAGATGCTTCCAGAATTGGAAGAGAAATTCATCACATTTTTTCCAAACTTCTCAAAATCAGTACTTGTCCTCTGTGACTATCTAAGTACTGTTCTAGCGAAGATTAGAAAATCTCCATAAAAATAAGATGAGAGTGGTCAAAGCTTGCTATCCTGGAATGCGCCCATGCAAGCGAGGGAAATACTGCACACCTTGACGAGGTTAATGAGAAGCCAGTTGCTGGCCTGTGGATCATTTAAGCCTGTCGGTCCTGAGGCGACGGGGCGCTCCGGACAGGCTCCGTGGAACCCCATCACTGCCCTGACCTCATCTGAGGCTGATGTGTTTTCACGCAGGCCCGACACGAGAAGATCGTCTCTCAGCACCAGGCCGTCCTTATGGCCACGCAGGCTGCACAAGCCTTGCTCGACAAACAGGGCCACTATCTGTCTCCCGAGGAGCAGGAGAAACTGCAGAGAAACGTGAAGGAACTGAAAGCACACTACGAAACCACGCTGGCCGAGTCGGAGAAGAAGATGAAGTTAACGCGCTCTCTGCAGGAGGAATTAGAGAAGTTCGACGCCGACTACAGCGAGTTCGAGCACTGGCTGCAGCAGTCAGAACAAGAACTGGAAAACCTGGAAGCAGGCGCAGATGACCTCGGTGGCTTGATGGCCAAACTGAAGCGGCAGAAGAGTTTCTCAGAGGATGTCATTTCTCACAAAGGGGACTTGAGGTACATCACCATTTCTGGAAACAGAGTGTTAGAAGCGGCCAAATCTTGCAGCAGGAGAAGCGGCAAGACTGCGCAGGATCACATCGATACTTCTGCGACCCACAGAGAAGTCCAGGGCAAACTGGATCATGCCACCGATCGGTTCCGGTCTCTCTACTCGAAGGTAATTTTATTTTTAGATCAGCTTGTGAGTATAGTTTTCACTTTGTCCTCTTCACTTCTGTTTTGGAATTAGAAGCGAGAAATCTAAGAACTGAAGCAGAGGACATAAGGTGGTTTTTTCCTCATTCCCCCTTTCTTATTCATCTGCTTACTTCAGCAAATGTGTTTAAAGGTTAGAAGCCTCGAATTATCTATTTAGTTTTTTGGGGGGAGTGGTTTCCAGGCAGCCTTAACTCTAAAACGCCAACATCCGATCTGACCACCAGGTGGCGTTTATGTTTTGGTTCCAGACCCAAAGCGCGCCTTGCTGATTTGCCCCCTCTCAGGCTTGGGCCTGAACTTTCATGTCAGATCATTTTCCCTTCACCAATACTGCACTTGTTTGTTTTGCAGATGTAGTTGATCAGAGCATTATTTTAATACTTCACGGCTAACAGACTATTTCAGCTTCTCCTTGTGGACAAGCAGAAGTTTTGTTTAAAAAAAAAACCCCGCAGAACTAAGAAAACATTTCCCTCTTTACAGTATAAGCTGAACAGACTAACCAAGTTGCCCAAATGGTTTAAAGAGCATCATTGGTTATTGGCCTTTGCCCATTCTGATCTAGATTATTTGCCTCCTTGTACAACTTCAGTCTTGGGTGACATGGAAATGATTTATTAAGCACTTTGAAAACTTTCCCATCGAATACATAGCTATACACATGGTCCATAAAACTCAGAATGTGTCCTGGTAGATTAGCCTCCCCTGGTGATTGATATCTGAATCCTTCATTCTGTAGTAAGACCCAGCCCTTGTAAACATGTTTTTGAACTGGTATAAATCTAGGACTATCTCTTCGTTTTTATGGTTACTTTTTGAAGATGCTTCTTCACATGAAGGAAAATATCTTAGTCCTATCGTTTTCACCAACTTTGGTTGAACTCTGGTGTTTTCCAAGTTGCCTAACTCATAGGTCCTAAGGTTTTTAACACCTATACAGTGGGATTTTAATCCCTCACCCTTAATCTCTTCTGATTTTTTATTTTTATTGTTTTTTTAGTGCAGTGTCCTTGGGAATAATCTTAAAGACCTGGTGGATAAATATCAACACTATGAAGATGCTTCATGTGGACTTCTTTCAGGGCTCCAGGCCTGTGCGGTCACAGCGAGCAAACACTTATCTGAACCCATCGCTGTGGACCCTAAAAACCTGCAAAGGCAATTAGAAGAGACCAAGGTAAGAGAAAGAGAGAAGGAGAGACAGAGAGAGAAAAGTGAGAGATCCAACCCTTCAGTAGCCTTGCTGAAACCCATCTGCTGCCCCACACTTTTGTGATCGTTTCACTTTGGAAAGGGGAACAGAGGATGGGAAACACACTTCTCTTTCTAAAGGGAGTTGGGGCTCCAATTCATAGTCCATTTGTTTCTCTTTCTAATGAGGTTGTATTTTCCGCTGTTGCTTAACTGGTTTGACACTGCTGTTAAGGCTTGTATCCCGCCGCTCCCTCCTCCCTAAAGGAAAACCATATTACCCTGGCCACTTATTTATCTTTATACTTATTTATTTTGTTCATTATCTTTCTTCTCCATTGGAAGTAAGTTCCATGAAGGCAGGTGTTTTTCTCTCTTTTTGTTCATTGCTATCTCCCCAGCACCTACAAGAGTGCCTGGCCCAAAGGAGGTACTCAGTAAGGGTTTGTTCAAGAACGAACAGGTGTAAAGGAAGAAGCGATGTCACCGTCCCATTTCAGGTCTGAGGACCAGGACTGCTGTTCCTGTTGAGTGTCCCCATGTTTCTTAGAGACATAAACTCTAGTTACTGCCTAGCACAGTTCTCAGAAAGTCTACCTGCTCCTTCAGAAGTGCAGGCTTGATGTCAGACTTGAATAACTGCAGAACTCTCAGCATACCCACAGTGGCAGAGAGAGTCTCTCCGTCCTAAATTTAAAGCATATTTTAGAATCTTAATGTGAGGGGAGATCATTTTTGAAGTACTTTACTCCTGTTCCAGATGACCAATGATTTGGAGTTTGAAAGTTTCAGTCCATAAATCAGTTCTGTGTCTCCTTTTAGCAGGTGGGTAGCAATCATTGCTGCCATCGCTAGAAAGTCAACACAGTATTGCCAGTTCAACAGCTGCCTTCCAGAATTCAGCTGCATCTGCACGTTATAGAATCAGAAATCATTATCATGCTATTAACGGGCAAAAAGGGTGCCCTGCCGAGTGAGCTTAATGCGAGGTATTGGCCTGAGACTGGCCGCTTCTGGCTGGAAGAAAGCTAAGTTCTAGCCAAGGGTGAAATGTGGCCGGGTAAGGCCCAGGCAGAGAGAAGGGGATGGGAAGTGTGGGCTGGGAGGAGGTAGGTGAGGTGCAGGCAGGCAGGCAGGACGGAGGGCGCCGCTTCTCTCCTGGGCTTAAGAGTTTACCCAGTGTCACTTGAGGCTCCAGGGAGAGGTCCTGCTCTAGTTGGTCATCCCCGGGGTGGTGTGGCCTCCCCGGGGTGGCTCCCTTCTGTTGGATGTGTGTTACCAGTCCTGTGCCTCTTTGTTTGTGTTTATTCTTTCCCATGAGCACAAGACCAGGTGTGTCTGAATAAAGTTTCCCGGTCCCACCTGATCACCGTCAAAGGACAGTGTATGTGGTAGGGGCAGAAGAGAGGCTGCAGTGTAAAGGCCTGTATTTTGGTAGAAGTTGCCAATAGCATAAAATAATTATTAAGATTGCCTATGTGACATTCAGTTAAGAAGTCAGGTATTTTAGTATAGCAAAGTGTACACACTAAAAACAACACATTTTAAGTTAGGTCTCTATCAGGAAACTGATTCCATCCTATATGAAAGTAATTTTTCTATAACTAGAGCTAAAAGAAAAAGAAGAACCCAAAAGGATGTAGTGGTTTTTAAATTAAACAGATACCTGGATTAATTGTCCAACAGAGGAAAACTTTCTTGGTATGGGCTGCGGAAGAAGACTCTTCTAGTCGTAAGGCAGCCAAAGTGATGTTAAAGAGGAGAGCAACGTCTCAAAGGAGAATAAATTCTAATTAAGCCACAGCGTAATTTTAAAAATTAAATGTGCAATTAAAGTTGTTCTTGGCATATGTTCTTACTTTCCTCACAGACGACCTCAGCATGTAGCAAGGATACATTTTTAGGAGGATTAGGCAGTTTCCATTTCTTTGATTTTTATTAACATTTAAAAATTATTTTTCTTTAACAGTAATATGAACACATAAGACTACCACAGAAAAATCAGTTTTCTCTACATTTACAATACTAGCATATTCTGTTGGATAATATATGTAACTTGGGGGTATCCAAGTCGGTTCGCTCGAAACCTTTCTCTCCAATAGCACATTGTTATTAGCATTATTATTCAGAGGACTGGTAGCTGTGTTGTCAACACTCTGATACCACTGAACTGTAATGATGTGAAGACAAATGTGAAGACAACAAAGATGTGAAAACTCTGCCTCTCCCCTTGGAGAACTCACATTCTAAAAAAAAATTTTTTTGGAGGTATTCATAACCTTATTTCATCTCTTAAGTCAGTATGCAATGCCCACAAACTGTGTCTGTGGTGTAGACTTCAGCCTGGTTCTAGGTAAAGTTCCTGTCGTGAGGAATTGTTTATGCTTCCTGTAACTAAACCTGTGAAGAATCTCCTAGACAGATCCACTCTGATAGTGTCTTTGGCCTCTTGGGACAGTTTTAGGATCTGGTACACAGATCACAAATCCCACGTTGGCCATAGCTTGCTAAGCCTTTTGACATATATGGGCTGCCCGGATGTCATTTAAATTACTTGAATATGAAAATTAGTTGAGGAAGTTTTTGCCTTTGGCTGTAGACATTTGTTTTAATCTGAAATGAAGGCTGAAATAGAAGAGGATCTTTTTGGATCTTATACCTGATATTTTTATTTATTTACTTTTCATTCATTTACTTCTTCTAGAAATCTTTCTCAGGGCCTACTATGTGTCAAGCACTGTGCTGGGCGGTGATAAAAAAAAGCTGAATGGAATAAATTCCTCGTTCTCAAAGAGGTTACAGTCTAAGAGACAAATCGAGTAATATTCACAGGGTATTTATGGGAGCTCCTGCAGGGACTACTTACAAACTAAGGGTGAAGAGAAAGTTAGGGGGTTGCCCAGCTGACTGTTAACCAGTGAACAAGAGCCAGGCTCAGGATGATGGGGGATAGGTTGCGTGGGAAGGTTAGCATGTAGAGATGTTAAATGCTGGGTCTAGCTTGAGCAAATAGCTAAGAAACAGCTGTGGTTTTGGACATTTCTGGAACAGGAGGTGGAGGAAGATGAGATTGAAGATAGAATTAGAGAGTAGATGTCATTGGACCTTTTATTGAATGCACAAGTCTGTCGTTTTTATAACGGCAATGGGAAGCTACTGGGAGATTTTAGAGAGGGGAATGATATGGTCAGGTATGTATTTTAGATAGAACACACTGGGGGGCTGTGTCCGGGAAGAGATTGGAGGCAGGGAGCTCAGTTAGGATGCTTTTTTCAGTTGAGTGTAGTGATCCAGAATTACAGAGCAGAAGTCTGCTTTTAAAAACGCCTTAAGCAGGTAAAATTGTCAGGACCCGATGGTGGATTTGCATGTGGAAAGGAGGGTTGAGGAAGAGTCCAGGAAGAACCTCAGAGCTACTACTTGGGTCATGAGATACAAAAGCAGGAGGAGTGCAGGTGTAGGGAGTGAGATAATGAGTTCAGATTCAGCGTTCTGAGTTTGAGGGGACTGTTTACACCCAGATGGAAATGATCAAGAGGCAGTTGGAAACCTGGGCCCATGGCCAGGGGTGAGTTCATCTACAGTTGGGCATATGGGAATTTGAATTTGAAATCCGAATGTGAGACTGGAAGAGGAGCTTGAGTAGCTCCAGTGAAGTGAAAGCCAGGCATAGGGCCCGGGTGGACAGTTAGCCCGTTTGGACACAGATACATCAGAGGTGTTAGGAATGCAGGGCCGGACTTCTGGAAGATTTATCTGTGGTTCTTGCCTCTACCTCTTCTCTCTTCGTTGTAATTGTTGAGCCACATGTACTTAGAGAAATGGGGGCCTCTATTCAGCAAATTCAGGATTACAGTATCCTTTCTGAAGCAAATGACGTTGTTAACCTTTTCCACTTTCTCTCTTCCTATAACCTTTGGGGACAGAATTATTCCAGGCCCAATTCCAAATCCCTGATTACATCTGTTCTTTTTCCCTTCTCATCGCTTAAGTATATGAACTCTCCGTGATTCCTTATGGCCTACTCCTCCGGTGTTTCTGTGCTTGCTCCTCTAGCAGTCTCTCCATGGGTCTTGGCTTCTAGAACTTTATGTCTCGTTCCAGCCTGTGTTCAGAGTCACTTCCATTTCCAAGTTCACTGGGTTGTTGTTTTTTTTCTTTCTATATGAGGATCCTAAGAGCTCTTTGAAGTCATAAATTCCTGAACAGACTCTCCTTTGCTCCTAAACTTGCTCCCACTTTTGCTTACGAATTCCATTAATTGCCTAGGCTCAAAAACACTGGACACTTCTCTTGTCTCTTCTTTTTCCTTGTTCCTGGCTCCTCACGCAGTGATGTCCCATAGAACATTCTGTGGCCATGGAAATGCTCTATAATGTCTCCAATATGGTAACCACTCGTCACCGTTGGCTACTTAGGACTTGAAATGTGGCTAGTACAACTGAGGAATTGAATTTTTAATTTTATTTGATTTCAATTAATTTTAAATTTCAAAAGCTCCTTGTAGTTAGTGACTACCATATCTCACAGCTCAGCTTTAGATAACCAGTTGTCAAGAGACCCTCCCCAACTCTGTAACCAATTTTGCCTTCCCAGCCCAGAAGGGCCTCTCTCCTTTGTTACTGCTGAAGTTTCCCCTAACTGGTGTCTCTGCTTCATTTCTTACTCATGTCATTTACCCCACACAGTGCTACAAATTTAGCCTTCTCTTAACACAGCTCTGAGCATGTCAACCCATACTCAGAATCCTTGAACGACTCTCCATTGCTGCAGGATGAAATGTAAACTCTTTAGCTGGACAGTCCTATTGCTGTTTATTCACCCAGACACATTCTCTACCTGGTTGGGACTCTCCCCTGTCCTGTGATGTTTCTGTCCACATCTTTGTTCACTCTGCAGGGACATGTCCTCCCTCTCCACTTCTGCCTGTCTCCATCCACACTTTCTTCAGGACCCAGCCCAGTACCACCAGCATGGAGGTGGTCCTCATTTCCCTCTCCACTTATCCCTCCTCTCAGCTTCCAGTAGCACTTACAGTTCCTGATGTAGATCATAAGATCCCTATGGGTGAGCTTTGTGTCTGTTTGGTTTTGTATTTTCACAAACCCAGCAAGATTTTTTTGATTTTGTTAGATGTTAAGTAACCTTTGTTGAGTAAACAGAAATAAATATGACTTTGTATTGAAATGGAAATCCTTAATTATTTCCTTACCTGGAGTTAGAAATAGTCCCAAAGGTGTGGGGGTTTTTTTGTTTGTTTTTTTTGAGTTAGGTTGGTTTTTGTTTTTGTTTTTGTTTTTGTTTTCAGGTGGTTAGTGAGGGTATCATCCAAGGCTATGAAATGGGGATGAAGGGAGATCTCAGGCTAGGGGTAGAGGGTCGCAAGATCAAGAATCAGGCCAAGTATCATGAACATATATATATGCTCAATGGTTTATTTCAAGACTGAATTGGTATTATCCTCACTGACTGAGGCCTTTGCTAACACCACTTTATAACTGGCCCTATTCTAAGGACTCTCGAGTAAGTTTATAATGATGAAAAGATTTTTATGTCTAATATTACTTTATCGTACTGTAAATAATTTTTTTAATATTGGAAATATATCATTTAATCCTATGGAGTATAATTGAAGCATTCAATCCTCCAGGCTCTGCAAGGACAGATATCAAGTCAGCAGGTTGCTGTAGAGAAACTGAAAAAAATGGCTGAAGTGCTTTTAGATGCCAGAGGATCTCTACTTCCAGCCAAGAATGATATCCAGAAAACACTGGGTAAGTGTTTATTTCCCTGTTTGCTTTCTCACGGGTAAATTCTCAATGAAGGCATTCTGCTACAGAGAACACGCTCACCAGTGTGTATTGTGTTGCTTATGTCCTTTCACTGAGAAATGGTACTTCCCAGTCTGGGAGGAGGCATGCCTTTTGGGGCAGGTATATTGGGAGTGGGGGTTGTGTACTTTGAAAAGAGTATGTTTAAAGTTTATTTTTATATTTAGAAAATGTAACAAAAACTCTTTATGTAATATTCATCACAGAAAGTAGAACTTAAGATTCTTTCGGTGGATGGCATTGGGCAGAGCTAAAACCTATGGCCAAAAGAGACTCACTGAGGGGTCTTTGTCGAAAGCAGGAGCATGGCATTAAGAGACGTGCTTTAAAACAGTGTTCCCACCTCTCCATTTTCTAGGAGGCTTTGAGTGGTCTCACAGGGCTCTGATTACCCCAGTTTTCTCCAGTGATACCAGAAACTTGTATCCAGTCATAGTGGTGCTTCTGTGTCCTCTCACGTTAGAGCTGGTATCTCTTGAGAAAAGAGCTATTACATGTTATTCTTTGTATCCACTCATCGTATTTAGTTTAGATTAAATGCACAGTGGGGTATCAATAAATGATTGCCCTCTTACTGTATTTTTTGCTTTGACTTTGTGGCTTTTCATACTACCTAATGTGTAGTTCAAGGTTATTATATATTTCTATGCATGAAATAAACACAAAGTTTTATAAGATGATTGGACCTGTGTTTCACACCAAAGCAAGTATGAGTTAAAATCTGAGAATAAATTTTAGATGAAGAGAAGGATGGATCTTTGCTTTTCTAAAACCAGTCCTTAGAAGGAAAACTTTTTTTTCATTCTTAAAGATGTCTAAAATTTTTGATCATGCATATGCCTTTCAAAAATTTCAGCATATACCTTCATGTAGGCACATGTATTTATAAGTTATATACAAATATTACTATCTTATCACATCATGTGTATTATAATTATAAAACACAAAAACATAAAATTTTAACATGTAAGATAAAAACATGAATGGAAGTTCTAATATTTTGTTCCTATATCCCAGTGTACCATCTTGTCATCCCACATTGGCAACTACTGCTATTAAGGACTTGGGCATGGAGATTTGGAGGAAAAAGAAAGGCTGTAATATATATGTGCTTCTGTTACTTGCAGAGGCATTTTCCCCATTGTCAAGTGTACATAGTTTTGTTTTTATTAGCTTAAAAATTCACATGTTACACATTATTTTAAGACTTTAAAACTTCTATCTGGCATAAGTTTCTAGGAATATGTGAAAATATATTTAAGATATAGAGGAATTTCTCTAAGATCTGTCTGACCCCTAAGAAAACCAACCACTTAAAAAAATAACAGTCTTAGAGTAGATTTCATTTTGTACTCTTTTCTTCTAAAATAATATTTACTTAGTAAAAGCAAGAATTCACTTCAGTGACAATATTTTATCATTAAGAAATACAAAAATAGTAACACTCAAAATGTGTTAATTTTAGTACAATAGCTGAATTTGCTTGGGAAATCACTTTTCAAGGCTAACCAGATTGCTGATTTACCCTGCTGATGCCTAGAGTTGCCCAGTTGAGAGGCAGCTCACCTGCTAATCAATCACCACCTGCAATTCAGAGTATCTTCTCTTGTGACTTCCAAAGAAGGGCTTATATTTGAACTTGCTGCTTGTTTTGTCTGCTGATAGCATCTTGGTGCATATTCATTGCCTTCCCCTGCCCCGTCTGCACTCTCCTTGGCTTCATCGTGTTCTGTGATGGGACCATTGACTGTCTCTTTAAATTATCTAAGCTTAACCTCTCAATTCAGTGAAAACTTGTGAAAGTGTTTTTTCATGATACATTAAAACAATCAAAGAGAAATATTGCTTCTACAGATTGTGTTCCATGGGCCAAACACAGCATGTAAAATGTTTTACTCTCAGAGTGGTGTTTGCAGTCAGAGTTTTCTAATTGAACATACAATATATCCAACTAAAGCAATCAGAAATAATTAAAATACTTTTCTTTTTTTTTAAGATTTTTAAAAATTTATTCATAAGAGACAGAGAGAGAGAGAGAGGCAGAGGGAGAAGCAGGCTCCCCGCTGAGCAGGGAGCCCGATGCGGGACTTGATCCCAGGACTCTGGGATCATGACCTGAGCCAAAGGCAGACGCTTAACCATCTGAGCCACCCAGGCACCCCAAAATACTTTTCAAATTATTGGACAATAAGTGATAAATTGATGATTTATTCCAGAGAGAGATTAATACATTAAAAATCATTGTTCTTTGAACTTCTCATAGGTCTACAGTACAGAATGTAGGATGTTAAAGTAATAGAACTTTCCATTTGAGTGAAAATTAGGCTATAACAGCCTGTTTTTTTTAACATCTTAAGTCTTCAGAATTGAAAGAAAGTTAATCTCATCTGACATAGGTCAACCTGTTAACCTTATTTATTTTTCCCTTTGGTCTGCTATTAAACTTTTCAAATAAATTCTATTTATATTTTAGAAACATAATCTCAACCTATCTTATTTTAAGTGAATTTTCATGATTTATTTTCTCATTGTATTTATCTGTTTTCTCATCATATGTGCATCTGTCAGTTTCTGTGCTTTCAAGTACTTTGCTTAGACTGTGAAGGGCGACAAAAGCTTAAGTATATGTTTGAGTGTGTGTGCGTGTGTGTGTGTGTGTGAGAGAGAGAGAGAATACCTGCTGTGCACAAGGGAGAGATAATTTTTATATGTAAAGGTTAATTCTTGATAAATCTTTTTATAGCTGTGTATTGTCCTTGAGAACAGCTGCGTGTGACTGTCACCTTTTTCTTTTTTCCATGTGGCTATCTAGTATGGCTAATTTGAAAATGTCAGATTGAGAACCAGCATTTACTCTAAAGTTTAACTGTTTAGACCACTAACATTTCTCTGGGAAAATTCAAATGTTTCCTCATCCCAAAAGCTCTTCTCAAATGCAGATGACATATATATCAACTATTGTTTAAAAAATACTTCAGTTTTTTTATGTTCCACTGAGATCTTTTTTTCTTTTGTTAAGGTTTCGGATGGTGCTCTGATTCTGCATTTTGAATTTATCATTTAAAACTTTTTCTTTTTCCAGTTTTGGTGTGGAAATTGTGTGACTCACCTTAGTGTATTTTTGAAAAGGAATAGGGCAAAGAGAGCTTTGTGGTTAACACTTCCTGATCTTTCTGGACTAGATGACATTGTTGGGAGATATGATGATCTGTCCAAGTCTGTTAATGAACGAAATGAAAAACTGCAAATAACCTTGACCCGCTCACTGAGTGTGCAGGATGGCCTGGATGAAATGCTGGACTGGATGGGAAGTGTGGAAAGTTCTCTGAAAGAGCAAGGTCAAGTGCCCTTAAACTCTGCCGCTCTTCAGGATGTGATCAGTAAAAACATTGTAAGTGACATTTAAAAAGAAAAAAAATCACTTTTAGATTAAAAAAAAAAACCAAAACAAAACCCCACTTAAAAAGTCCCAGGGATGGGTAGATTGAAGATAAACTTAAGGATAAAGACAGGAGGTTTCCTGAGTATAACTGTGAAAAGTACTGCTTGCATCGAGACACATGTATGAAGCAGTTTTTCTCTGAAGAAGTAGAGAGAGAGCTTTGTATGCTTTTTCATGAATGTAACTCATTATTGATGGCTTACACATACACGAGGCCTAGCTTGTTCATCACAGCTTCAGCCAGCTGCACATGAGGTTAATCAGATCAATCTTGTTGTTGTCCAGCCTTTTAAAAATTAGGACCGTGGATAATCCCTCGGCTCCGTTAGGTCTAGGGTTGCTGAGGGGCAGCCGCCTCCTGCCTCGCTCAGGCAACTCGCCGGCTGGTCTCCGCCCTGTCTTGAAGAGATTTGGGACCGTGTGCCTCAAGGGGCAGAGCAGACTGGTCAGTCAGCCCCAACACTTAACCTTCCTTAGTCACAGGCTGTTCACACGCACGTTGTTACGTATGGTCATTTTTTAACACTCTGTGATGTTCTTTGTAAACCTCATTATAAAACACAGGCCGTATTTGGTTCATTTCAGATGTTGGAACAGGATATTGCAGGTCGTCAGAGCAGTATAAATGCCATGAATGAAAAACTGAAGAAATTCATGGAAACCACGGATCCATCGACTGCATCCTCACTGCAAGCCAAGATGAAGGACTTGTCTGTCCGCTTTTCAGAAGCAAGTCGTAAACACAAAGAAAAACTTGCCAAAATGGAGGAGCTAAAAACCAAAGTAGAACTCTTTGAGAACCTCTCAGAAAAGCTCCAGACATTTTTAGAAACAAAAACTCAGGCTCTCACTGAGGCAGATGTGCCAGGAAAAGATGTTACTGAATTGTCTCAGTACATGCAGGTATGTCTTCCTTCATATTCACGAGGTTGGTCAAGCTCATGAACACTTCAGACCAGCTTTGTATTAGCATGTATTAGCAGCATTACAGTTAGCAATCATCATTTTTAATTGCTGATGGATTAATAAGGATCTATGCTTCCCTCCTTCAAAAATCCCAAACCCCATCTTCTCCTTAAAGCCTTTGCTCACTGATTAGAAATGAACACCATTTCTCACATATACACTTTCCACATATTAAAGATGATATAGGTATCATATGCCAGAACCCACAAAAGACAGACTATAAGGAATGCATTTTTATTTATTTTTTATTTATTTATTTATTTAGTTAGATAAATATACTATCTATTTATTTATTTTGATGTAGTGTTCCATGATTCATTGTTTGCATATAACACCCAGTGCTAAATTAAATAAATTTACTTGTGTTCTCTTTCAGACAGCCTAACTGCATGTTTGTTTATATTTAGAGTACTGACCATAGGCAGATCCTAAGATTCTTCTGTGAAATTCTGAGTAGAGCCATTCTGGTCCCATATGTACCTCTTGATAGAATGCCATCTGGAGATCTAACGACATCTTAGATTGATTGAATATCTAAATGCTTTGTAGGAATCAACTTCTGAATTCTTAGAACACAAGAAAGATCTTGAAGTTTTACACAGTGTTTTGAAGGAGATATCCAGCCATGGCTTGCCAGGTGATAAGGCTCTGGTTTTTGAAAAAACAAATAATTTGTCAAAGAAGTTCAAGGAAATGGAGGATACCATCAAAGAAAAGTAAGCACCACTTAAGAAATTGGATTTTAGTCTACCTGATACTTAAAGAATGAATTATTTTTATTTGCTCATGTAGATACTTGAGACAAAACTTTGGGGATAAGCATTGGGCTACTTTGTAAGTGCTTTTATATTGATATATATTTTTTTGCTATTAAAATTAAGTGCATTTTTGTTAGAATATTTAGGAAGGGAATTTGATACTTCTTACCTAAAAGTAGAAAGTATTATGTAGAAAAATAGTGGTGGTAGTGTATTACTGAAAATAATCTAAAATCACTGTGGTCTCTGAAGCCTTTGGCAAATACCACAATTTTATTTGCAAAATCAGAAATAACATTGAAAGATAGCTCATGGTTCATTGCTTTTGGGGCTTAATTCAGAAACTGCACAATTTCAATATAGTTTTTGATGGCCTTTTTTTTTTTTTTGGTAAAATAGTTTACTTTTTAAAGAATTATAGGTAAGAAATGACTCCATGAACAAGCAAGATAAGAAACAAGAGAATGCACCTGAGTTGAGCTAAAAAGCTGTACTGGGATAAACCTTGTGACTAGACTTTCTATTTCTGATCTCATGTTAGTTTAGAATATATGTCAGGTTTTGCTAAAGACCCCACAAAGATAGAAAATAGTTGTCTTTTAACTCTTCTTTATTTCTTCAGAATTCTCTACCGAAAACTTTTGAGCACCGTCTATTACTATTTCCAGAGCTACATTTTCCATCTTGTCACGTAATATTTAACTCATATCACATGGAAATGATATTCTTGGTTTTCCGAGGTGAACTTTAGGTGGTTTCTTCTTCCAGAAGGGTTCAGTTTTAAAACCATGTAGTCATCAGTAATTAGTCCAGCTGCAGTGGACCCTTCTGTGCCAGTATTCCACACACGTGCACACGGGCACATGCCATCCACATGCCATCCACCTGCCACCCACATACCAAATGGAACCTCACAGCTGTTCATGTGCTGGGCAGGTGCCCTCCCTCCATGGTGCTTAGTATACAGAAAGATCCATATAGTTCACTGTGGAGCTTTCTGAGTATCTGTCAGGGAGGCAGTCAGTACCATTCTTTAGTCACTAGGCCTCACCTCATGTTCGGAGAGTTCAATGTGGACTCTCTGAAGCACCTGGTTTATTCATCCACTAAAGTGACTGTAGTGTCGTGTAGAAACCACTAGGTGGCGGCATATTTTCCTCAGATCAGTGATTTGTAAATGTTTCCCTGCTGGTTCTGTGCCTGTTGGCATTAAGCACCATATAAAGTGGACAGATCAAAGCTTGCTGAATCTAAATAGTGTTAAAACTGTTTATATAGTCCTAGAGTTTATGTAGTATTATAAAGTGCCATTACCATATGGGTTATGGATTTCTTAACTGGTCCTATCTTTGTCTATGGAGTGTGCCTCAGAAATAGAGTAGTTACTTAGCTGATTTCACTTGGCACCTATGAGACCTTTCGTCCTTTTATCCAGGGTTAGAGTTTGCATGGGAGAAGGTTTTTTTTTTTCCCTTAATTGTAGGCCTGATACAGGAATAATAATTTATTTACTAGTAATTATTCCTTCGGAGTATTTTCTTTCTGTGGCTTAAATTCTTCAATAATTTTTGTTATCTAGAAAAGAAGCCGTATCTTCTTGTCAAGAACAGATGGATGCTTTCCAAGTCCTTGTTAAGTCATTGAAATCATGGATAAAAGAAACAACGGAAAGAGTTCCCATTGTGCAGCCTTCTTTTGGTGCAGAAGATTTAGGAAAATCTTTGGAAGAAACTAAGGTGAATTATTATCTACTACTAATTTCTTCTTTGCCCGTGTGAGTAATGAGAGGTTAAAAGACTATTAGTGCCTTCCTTTTATCTGATAAGTTAGATCCCCACTTTATCTTCAGTATATTTTGGTGTTATTTGGAAATCATGACATAGCTCTAATCCTTTTGAGGAAGAAAACAAATTTTGAGTTAATTTGCTTTTTAAAAGAGATGTATTAGTGAGTTGCTGACTGTTCTAGTACCCAAGTTTTCTTCCCCACCAAATCTGTACTTACTTTCAGTGTTTTTTTAATACCATTTCTTATAACGTTATGTAAAAGATCTTCAATTCAGCATTTAACTCTAGCTCAGATATATCACTGTAACCAGCATTTGAAGGTAGAAGCTGTTTGAATCTCTAGTACAGATACTGTACAAGTCTTTTGTCATCTGATTCAAATCATAAAACTTATGCCCAGTTATGGCGCTTTTCCCACTCCAACTTTGTGGGGATATGTGTTTTTAAAAATTCATTGAAATTTTGAGGATTAAAACTCACTATTAAATAGAATTCTGAATTCCCTTTTTTTTTTTTTTTTTAAATCGTTTCTAGTACATTTCTTCTTGTAACTTGGCTGGTACCAAGTACAGTTTTCAGACCGACAGTTGACAGTTACTTTGGAACCCATGGCAGCTAGAAATAGGCTGACATCCACTGTGGCTAGGAGCAGAATGTAGGATGGACCATATCTCACTCCTCACCACTAACAGTGTTAACAGTCACCTGGGCTGTTGGAACACCTAGGCATAGTGCCTTTTTTTCTATCCACTCCCCCACGAATCAGGACCCGCAGTCATCACTGCTTTAAGATATGTTTAAGAAATTGAATTATAATGTGTAACTTTGAAAATATTATGAAGATTGAAAAATACTGTGTTTTTATATCTCAAGAAATTACAAGAGAAGTGGAGTCTAAAAACACCAGAGATTCAGAAAGTAAACAACAGTGGGATCTCACTATGTAACCTAATCAGCGCTGTGACTACCCCCGCAAAGGCAATAGCAGCAGTGAAATCAGGTATGTGCTTTGTTTACATCCACAGCAGACCCCCTAAGAACTGGGTCCACCCATGTTACTTCTGTTTCCCTTAATTTTTAAATTAATGCATAAAATAACCTCAGAAATACAAAGGGAGAGTGACAAGAAAGATGGCATCTGTACATGCACTAAAAGTATGTTCCATGCATGGAACAGTGTCTGTACTCATCAAATTTCAAATCCCTCTTATGGTTCACTTTCATAGAGACTACAGTTAAAATGTAACCAAATTAATATGTAAGAATAAGGAACATTATATTGGGGAAGAGGAAAAATCAGGTTCCAATTTGTTTTCTACCTTAATTAATGGAGATAACTCAGATTCTACTTGAAATATTTAATAAATGAGCCCAGTCTCCTGGGAGAGGAGAGGTGAAGGAAGGAAGCAGCTCTTTTCTGTAGAGTGGATCTCTGTATTTTTAAAAATCCCCATCTACCTTATTTTCTACACTGTTCCCAAAGAAAACAATTATATAATGTGTTAGCCAGTGTACCTAAATTGTAGTCATGATTGAGCCACTCAGCAGAAGTGGAGTCATGTATAAATAATGATTCTAAAATTAATTTAAGTTGTGTATATGGTTTTAAGTTTAAAACATATTTATATTGTTAATATCAGGGTTTTTTTTTTTTTTCTCATCCAAGAATAGACGAAGGCAGATCTCGTATCTTTATTCTGAGAGTCTCTGAGTACCCTCTGTGGTTTTTCTGCTCCACCCAGCCCCCCAGCTGCCCCTATTGTGAGATGTTCCAGCTGGGCCTCTTGCAAACATTTATTCCGCTCTATTAACCCCATTTCAGAGCGTACTCATATTATATATGGAGTGATGATCTCTCCTTTCTCTTCTAATCAGATTTCCTGAAATGTCAAGTGTTTTGTTTTGTTTTTGTTTTTTTTTAAGAAAAGGAATTCTGTTGTGTTTTTTCTTAAGAAAAGGAATTCTATTCTATAAAGGTCCACTTTATATTTGTGATAAGTAAGAAGTTGTTTTTTTTTTTCTTCTCTTGATAACTACCAAGCACAGTAGGAATCAGTCTTGATTCAGGATATTTTCACTTTCGACTGAAATGCCAATGTATGTGATTTTTTTCTGTTTTAAAGAGACAAAACTCAGATTAAGATCCAGATATTTAAATATTCCTGTTTTAAACTTGTTCTTGTGTGGCTAGTTTTAGGAAATGTCTTTGTGTTTTATAGATAGGTAGCCAATGCCTACGTGCCTGAGAAAGTCTAATTGAGTTTTTTAATATTCTGCTTATGAAATAGGAACCAAGGCTAGATGTTTATGTAATTAAAGAGTAGTACTAATTACTGCTTACTGAGTAGTTCCTATTTGCTAGGCAATCCGTTAACTGTCTTTAATACCCACAGTGGCCTCACAAGTTAGGTATTATTATCCCCACCAGTGTGGTGGGGTGGTGATTAATTTGTCCATTCACTCAGCTAGTAATTAGTGGGGCTGGGATTTAAATTCAGGTGAGTCAGACACAAAAGCCCAGGCATTCCTAACCACTGTGCTCTTCTCTCTCTGTGTTGACATAATGTGGGTTTTAGTAATAGAGTTTGTTTGTTTTACTTTTAACTTTTCATGTCTTTGTACCTCATTCTGCTTCCATTAAACCCATAATAACACTGTGTAACTGTACCACACAATTTTCAAATCCTTAAGTAAGGGTTTGTCTGTCAGTCATTTATGCTTCTTGCAACACACACAGTGAGCAACTTTTGAGTTGCTTCAAGGACTTTATTACTAAAAATAACAATAAAACAATTTTATCACAAAATTGTTTTTTAATTAATACTTAAGGATGAATGTATATAATCTAAACTTATTAAACTCTAACGTTTCAGGTGATCATGTTACTACTTTAAGAATGAATTTTATATACCAGAAAGGATCTATAAATTTTGGACCTTCATTTGATTTAGAAATTGAATCAATATTTTATATTTTCAAGTAGTAATAACATTTTTAAATGATTACCGTTTATGGGGTTTGATTTAATGCCATCTACTATTAATGTGTAGAAATACCATAGAAATCTATAACTACTTCGGTGTTAATATTTTTGCAGGTGGAGTAATATTAAATGGTGAAGGAACAGCCACAGATACTCAAGATATTTTGTCAAATAAAGGTGAATAGTAACTTAAGTGCTTATGATTATAGTAACTTTGGCTTTTGTTCTTTTTTGAGAGAAAATCTTTTTAGAGATGAATAGTTATATTGAAATGTCAACCTTGAGTTAAAATGATATTATTTATTTTTTAAAGAGAAAGAGAGAAAGTGTGAGTGGGGGAAGGGGCAGAGGGAGAGGGAGAGAATCTCAGGCAGAGTCTGTGCTGAGCATGGAGCCCGTCTCGGGGCTTGACCCCATGACCCCGAGATCATGACCTGAGCTGAAATCGAGAGTTGGACACTTAACCGACTGAGCCACCCAGGGGCCCCTAAAACATTATTATTTTATATCATAGTCATATCTTCATAGATATATTTATGTAACATTCTATGCAATTTTGTTAATCTCAAGTTAGTGAAATCTGGTAGTTTGGTTTGGCATTTGGTTATGTTTCCTTCTTTTTGGTTAAATAATTTAAGGTATTTTGTCACTTGAATAACATTCTTTGAGCTATTTTCTTGAGTTTGATTCCTAAGGACTTAATACATAGCATTTCATGGTTTTGGTTTCCCATTCCATTGAAAAATCTCTTTTTCATTTCACTTGTATTATGCAATGTACCTAAATCGTTGGTTATTAAATAGCATTATAAGATAGTTCTAAAAATTCTTTTAGAATTTTTAACCCTTTAGTTCTAAAAATTCTATGACTTTATCATAGTAGGCTTAATATGGACAAAATAGGAGGGAATATCATGTAAAGCAAACTTTTATTTCTAGAGCTTTACTCTAAACGTCCTGAAAATGTGTCCATCTGATTTTATTTTATTTTAATACTTTTAGGATTGACATCCATTAAAAAGGATATGACTGACATAAGCCATGGTTATGAAGATCTTGGCCTTTTACTTAAGGATAAAATAGCTGAACTGAATACTAAACTCTCCAAATTGCAAAAGGCTCAGGAAGAATCCAGCACAATGATGCAGTGGCTCCAAAAGATGAACAAGACTGCGGCCAAGTGGCACCAGGCACCGACTCCGACAGACACGGACGCTGTGAAGACTCAGGTGGAACAGAATAAGGTATATTCTGCGGATACATTTACCGAAGACCTGAAAGGGAACAGACTAGCATCCATCTGAGGCCTGGTGGTCAGGACCCGTGTTCTGATTTCCAGCTCTGTAACCTTCAGCAAATAACTTACCAGTTTTGTTTAATGTGCCTTTCTGTAGAAAGTGATGATAATATACTGTATGGTGACTAACATAACATAATAAAATAAAATTTAAAAAAAAGAAAGTGAGGGGTGCCTGGGTGGCTCAGTCGTTAAGCGTCTGCCTTCAGCTCAGGTCATGATCCCAGGGTCCTGGGATCGAGTCCCGCATCGGGCTCCCTGCTCTG